CGGCCGCCGAGCTCCGTGCGCCGGCCGCGCCCCGCCCTGCCCATGGAGCCGCCCTAGAGCCGCGCGCTGACCCGGCGACCGCGGGCCCGGCCTGAGCATCGGCCGGCGGGCTCCGCTCCAGCCCAGAGCCTCCCGAGAGACCCCGGGCGGCGCGGTGGCCCGGACCGGACCGACGACCGGGCTCCTCGGCAGTCAGTCCGGAACCGCAGCATCGGACCACCCAGCCCCACCCCACCCCACCCCACCCGACCGCCGCGCTCGGTGGGGTCTGAGAGCTGCCCAGCCCGCGTCCTCCGGGAGCTCGGATCCGTGCAGACACCGGCCACCGACCGAGCCACGGACGAGGCAGCTGCGGAGCGTCCGCCGCCCGCACCCCTGGCCAGGGTCGCCTCAGGCCCCGCAGCTGGCGCCGGGACCCCGACGCTTCCTCCTAGACGTGCCCTCCTCGGGCTACTCTGCCCCCTCCCACCTCCCAGACCCCCCACCTGGCGCCCAGGTCCCTTCCCGGTCCCCTGCGGGCGCTCAGGGTCAGCCCACCGCCGCCTGCACCTCTCGCCCTCACCGCGGCCAGGGCCATCCATCTGCCCTTCTGAACGGCTTTCGGTTCCACAAATGGGCCTCAGCCTTCACATGTCCGGTTCCTTCTCATGGAACATTCTTCGCTTCACATTTTGTTTCGACATCGCCTCCTCTGAAAAGCTTTCCCTCCTGGGTCGGGTTCCGAGCCCTGAAGCTCGGCCTGGCTGGTTTCATTTCATGGTTTTAATGTGTGACTCCCACTGAGGTCAGCTTAGGAACCACTCCCCTTTTCATTGTTTTCTATAGTACTTTTCAATAAAAATATTTTTTAAGAGAAGAACATTATCGTTTTCCCCCTTTATTGATTTCAGAGAGGAAGGGAGAGGGAGAGAGAGAGAGAGAAACATCGATGATGAAAGAGAATCATTGATCGGCTGCCTCCTGCACGCCCACCATCAGGGACTGAGCCCACAACCTGGCCTGTGCCCAGTGGGAATGGAACCGGGACCTCCTGGTTCATAGGTCAACGCTCAACCACTGAGCCAGCCGCGGGGCAAAAAGAAGATTTTCAAGTTAACCGACTAAATTTTAGACAGCAAGTAAAATATATAAGTTCCAGAAAGTACAATTTGCCCTTTAAAGTTCGGTGCTTGTGTTTTTAAGAAATAGGGTATTAGTTGATGAATTAGAACTTTGACCTTCCCCTCCCCTCTCCTTCCCTCTAGGAAAACCTTTGTTGCTGCTCTTGACAGGAGATCTGTATCATCACTCATTATGGGTTGTCTTTTTCTTCTCTTCTGTCTCTTCTTTCTCCCCCACTCCTTGTAGCCCTAATATTAAAATGGAAATATAATTATACATAAGTATTTTACTATTTGTATCTGCTGAGTATTTCACTATTTCATATTTTTTTTAAATATATTTTATTGACTTTCCACAGAGAGGAAGGGAGAGAGATAGAGAGCTAGAAACATCGATGAGAGAGAAACATCGATCAGCCACCTCCTGCACACCTCCCACCCGGGATGTGCCTGCAACCCAGGCACATGCCCCTGACCAGAATCGAACCTGGGACCCTTCAGTCCGCAGGCCGACGCTCTATCCACTGAGCCAAACCGGTTTCGGCACTATTTCATATTTTTAAAATTTAAAGTGTGGGTGGGAGAAAAGTGGATATGTAGATTGTTTTGTATTTTAAAAATGAAACTGGTATTTAATTGAAAGTGGTCCCTCACCAAATGGGTACCTTTTCCACTGGAGGCCAGTAATGCTTCATAGAAAATATTATTTGTTGGACTAGAAAAAATAGCCGGGGCAACAGTCGAGAAGAGCCTTCTTTTATTGTCAAATGCCCCCCACACAGGTGAGGTCTCCTCCCTTAGAAACTCTGAACTTCATCAAGAACTATGAAGGGGCCGGGCTGGTGTGGTTCAGTGGTTGAGCACTGACCCATGAACCAGGAGGTTTCCGTTCTACTCCTGGCCAGGGCACATACCTGAGTTGCAGGCTCAATTCCCAGTAGGGGGCGTGCAGGAGGCAGCTGATTGATGATTCTCTCTCATCATTGAAGTTTCTCTCTATTCCTCTCCCTTCCTCTCTCTGAAATCAGTAAAAACATTTTTTAAAAAAATAAAGAAAAAACATGAAGGGGCTACATGTAGAGGAAGGGCACAGAACTTGAGCTTCTATCCAGCTCTGTTGTGTTCAAGCTAAGTGACCTTCAGCAGGTGCTGTGAATCTTGTTGTCTGTCTGTCTGTTACTGAGCTCAGAGCTCCAGTGTGAGATTCTAGGCCAGGGGTGGGCAAACTTTTTGACTCGCGGGCCACAATGGGTTCTTAAACTGGACCGGAGGGCCGGAACAAAAGCATGGATGGAGTGTTTGTGTGAACTAATATAAATTCAAAGTAAACATCATTACATAAAAGGGTACGGTCTTTTTTTTTTAGTTTTATTCATTTCAAACGGGCCGGATCCGGCCCACGGGCCATAGTTTGCCCACGGCTGTTCTAGGCCCTAGAGCAGGGGTGGGCAACCCCTGGCACACATGCCAAACATGGCACGCCAGTAACTTTTGCTGGCACGCGAAACCCTCTCTTATAATATTCCATTTACAATTTTTTTCTTAATATCGACTTTTTTATTTTTCAGATAAATTCAGTGTAGGTGCATATTAGATAAATAAATAATTTTACATAACAAGTTATCTTAAAGACCATAGGCATGGATTGACGAGAGAGGGGAAGAGCAATTTCTATGCCTCTGCCTTAACTCTCCCTGCCTTCCTAGATCCGACCAGTGTTTTGGTTTCATCCACATACGCTTGTGAATCTTTGTTCTCAGTGATGAATTTTGTTAAGTCTCATAATAGGAGTAGCCTGATGGATGAAAATAGTAGCTCGTGCATATCTCTGAAGGTCACGAAATATAAACCTGATGTAAAATCTCTGTCATCAGTGATGCAGCAGCAAAAGTCCCACTGATAATATCAGACGGAGTCATAAAGTTTTCTGTCGGACTATCAGTGTACATGTATACATTAAAAAATAAATGTATTTTTCATCATCATATACTGTGTTTTTGTTGCTCGAATGAATTTTATTATTTCTTCAAAGTTCTTCACATATGTACACCTTAAGAGATATCAAGTAGGCGTAACATGTTCTCAAAAAATTAGGGTTGGCACCCAGAAGAATTTTGACTCAGAGATTTTGCTGGTTTTGGCACGCACTCACAAAAAGGTTGCCCATCCCTGCCCTAGAGTCTAGGGCAGTGGTCGGCAAACCGCGGCTCGAGAGCCACATGCGGCTCTTTGGCCCCTTGAGTGTGGCTCTTCCACAAAATACCACCGCGGGCGCGCACGTACAGTGCAAAGTTGACTTAAAACTTTAAGTAAAGTTTATTAAGTTAATTTTAGGGAATGTTGTGGAGTGAAAGAAGATGTAGTGTCGAGGACTGAGAAAGGTATGTTGAGATGGTTTGGACATATAGAGAGGATGAACGAAAGGAGACAGACGAAACAGGTATACAAGACGAGTGTGGATGGTAGAGTTGGAAGGGATCGACCTCAGCGAACGTACCTCAATCAGATTGAGGACGTTTTTAGCAAAGGCCAGCTTAGGAGTCCCCTAATTACGTTAATCACAATGTACCTACCTATATAGTTTAAGTTTAAAAAATTTGGCTCTCAAAAGAAATTTCAATCGTCCTGTTGATATTTGGCTCTGTTGACTAATGAGTTTGCCGACCACTGGGCTAGGGGAACCTGAGTCAAGAACCACCCTGGGCCAGAGACATGGCAAAGGGGAGGGGCAGGGGAGGAAGCCTCTCTCAGACTCTCCCCAAATCGAAGGCCCCTTGCCTCCAGATGCTGTTTTACAGTGAAATACAAGGAAAGGAGAAGTGAGGCTACACCAACCCCCATGCGATCACTCCCAGTTCCCCCCAGGGGCACACGGGGAACAGGGAGATGTGGCCTCCTCCGCCCCAGGAGCCTCCACACAGATGTGTGCCCAGGTCCCGCACTCCCAATGGTGAGATGGCCCCTGCCCGGACTTCCCTGGCTGGGGCATCAGATTGAGCATGTGGTGAGAGGCCTGGTTCTGGTAGAAGCTGGAGTGTGAGTGTGTGTGTAAGTGTGTGTGTGTGTGTGTGTGTGTGTGTGTGTGTGTGTGTGTGAGTGTGAGTGTGTGTGAAGGGTGAGGCTGTGTCACCAAAGGGAACTGAAAGAAGCTCAGTATGAGTGTTAGGGAGAGAAGACAGACATCTACTGGGCAGCTGGACAAGACACCCCACCCAACTCTGGGCCTTCAGTGCAGGCCTGGGCGGCTGCCTCTTCCCAAAACCTCCTTCCTTAGAGACCCACCCTCTCAGGCCTGGCTCTCTGGATTCCTGTTCCCCAGATACCCCCCTTTTCTTGGAACTTGTTGGCTGGACGCTGGACTCTGGAGTCCAACGGGGCTGAGTCACACCCTGGCTCCACCACTCCGGGATGGTGTGACCTTGAGCAAACCATGGACTCTCATGGGAACCCCATTTCCCACCTGTGAAGTGAGAATGGTACCACCACTGTCACAGATTGGCTGGGAGGCCTAAAGTCAACACATGCTCAGTGAGTACCTCTATATGTCAGAATAAGGTGGCCCTGGCTGGGCAGCTCAGTTGGTTAGAACGTCGTCCTAGTATGACAAGGTTGCAGGTTTGATCCCCGGTCAGGGCACATACAAGAATCAACCAATGTGAGTGTTGACCTATGAACCAGGTCACGGTTCAATTCCCAGTTAGGGCATATGCCTGAGTTTCGGGTTCAATCCTTAGTGGGGGCATGTAGGAGGCAGCTGATCAATGGTGCTCTCTCATCATTAATGTTTCTTTCTCCTTCTCCCTTTCTCTCTGAAATCAATTTTAAAAATATATATACACTGAGTGGCCAGATTATTATGACCACCTGACGTTTGTAGGCAAATTAGCCATACACTGCGTCATATGGGATATGGAAGCCGAAGGCCTGTTTGAACACCTTTGCTGTCTGCAGTTACCAAGATAAAACATCTCCAATTCGCACAGGAACACAAGGATTGGACAGTCGAGCATTGGAAAAAAGTCATGTGGTCCAATGAATCATGTTTCCAGTTGCATCATGCAGATGGCAGAGTGAGAATTTGGTGGAAACAGCATGAAAGCATGCACCCCACATGCATGAGTACAACCCTTCAAGCTGGTGGGGACAGTGTTATGGTTTGGGGCATGTTTTCCTGGCATGATTTGGGCCCTTTAATTCGTGTGGAACAACGTCTGAATAGCACAACATACCTAAGTATCATTGCTGATCAAGTTCATCCTATCATGTTGATGGCATATCCCAATGGAGATGGCTTCTTCCAACAAGACAGTGCGCCATGCCACGGTGCTCGTACTGTGCAGGAGTGGTTTCAAGAACATGAGGGAGACTTTACCTTGCTTAGGTGGCCCCCACAATCACCAGATCTCAATCCAATTGAGCATTTGTGGGACGAAGTTAAAAGAGCCATCGGGCAGCTGGTTCCACAACCATCAAATCTCATAGAACTGGACAG